TTTCTGGTGCTTTCACTTCCAGAGACAAGTGTAAGCACTGTGTAACTGCCTCGAGGGTGCTTGCCCATTTTAACACTACGTGGTGCGAATATCTCCCTTGCGCGCGGTGAGGGTTCTCGACCCCGCACATTATGATCTACTCGACCACCATTCATGGTTACCGCCAAAAAAAACAGAGGTAAAAAAAGCAGTAACCTGGTTGCCGAGCTCACGAAGTGGTCGGCTTGTCTTACAACGTCGTTGCCAAGCGACGAAAACCCAACCCCGATGGCAAACACCGGGGGGGACGGCCGGGGGGTGGGGGTCGATAATGTTGACGCCGAACATCCCGCCGCAACGCACTTGGGGTTGTTGGGGTTGTGGAGCTTAGTGGTGTCCATGTTCCTCCAGTGGTGTTGTCTACAGGAGTGTCGGCGAGGATGGTCCACTAGTTTGCTTGACCTTTTGGCTTGAGCGCTCGTTGAGCGTCGTCCCCCTGTTTGCCGGAACAACTTGGTGGGATGCTACCTGCCTGCGTTAGTACCTCCTCCCTATCCCGCACACGGGGACGTCAAAGTCGGCCCAATGTCTCCCCCGTCCATCAATCCTTGTAGTGTCATCGGCTGCCATGTTGCGCGAGTCATCTTAAACATGTGAACCTGTCATCGGCTGCCATGTTGCGCGAGTCAGCAAAACATGTGAACCGATAGGACCCTGCCGAAGTGCGATTAGCTCCGTCGCCGATAGAACTTCGGGAATGTCACCGCCGCTTGATGCTGTTCGCGACCCGCACTTGTTGGTCAGCATTGAACGAACTTGTGTGCATTGTGTGGGTGATGTCGTTTTGCGTGCGTCCGTTGAGCGCGGCGCTTGTTTGAGATGTGTATGATTCTGTTTCTCGTGGGGGGTGTGGTGTGGTTTCGGTACGCCAGATCTGCTTCCGAGGGAGCTTGACAGCACCCCGGAAAACCTGCGCCCAATTCTCCAAATACGACCAGTCTCTCCTCTGCCTCTGTCTTTTGTTTCTATCGATCAGTCTCCCCCTCGCTTTCTCTTAAGTCACTCCCACGCAACCGCTTTCGTCACATCGAGAAAAAACGAACCCGACAAGGTGGACACATGTGAACATATGCCGTGCGTATACGTACCTCCAGGCGAAGGAGCTGAGGGAGCACGACCTGCTGTCCTACCACACGGCATCTCCGGAGATCCAGGAGGAGCTATGGGCGTGGATCGTGGTCCGGTGCCTCGACCTGCTCGACCGCTTCGGGGTAGAGATGCTCAAGGTGCCCGTGTGCCGATTGTCGCGCTGTAGGCCGTTGTTGTTGCTGTCCCTGACGGTGTTGGTGCGGCGTGGGGGGGCCGACGGACGCATGTTTGGCGTGCCTTGGTTGCTAGACCATTGACCATGCGTCCTCGAGAGGACGGGGCATTATTCTCGCGGGACCGACCACCGACGGTTAATCGTTGCTCTCCCTAAGTTTGCCAAAATGTGGCTGGCAAATACTGTCTCTCACCTGCCTTATCGATATCACTACTCGCCTTCTCAGCCCATGGATGTGTTGCATTTTGTTGAGCCTTGTCACGCACAGGTAGCGCTGTACCTCTTTCATCAGCTGAGCGGGGCAATGTAGATACGATATTTTTAGGCTATATCCTTTTTTTTAGTTTTTGGCCCTCTGCCCACGACCGAAGAAATTCATCGATTTTCAACATAACAACAGAGAACAGGCGACAGGGTCACCACAAGTTGGCTGCGCCAGCCGACTTGTGCACATGAAACGGAAAGGGTGCTGAGACTAGCTTGTGGCATTTCATCCCTGAACACGCACTGATTTTTGGTCGCGTCCTCGCTCCGCCCGTCCCCCCCGTCCCATATTGTCCCATATTGTCCCATATTGTCCCGTCCCTTTCGTGTGATGCGCCTTCCTTCCGCACCACGCGTTGGTGTTTTTATTTTTTGTTTGCGCTGTTGCTGCGATCGGCTGGATTTTAATCGCTACGTCGCGGTTATTTCAACGTTGGGGGTGGGCAGAATGCGCACAGTGTCGAGACGGAGGAAGAGGTGTTCGAGATACTTCTTGACTACGGCCGACAAACTCTGGACCGGTTCTCGAGCGTCGTCGACTCCACCAGCAGGTGCGGGGGCTCCGCCAAATAGAAGGGGGGGAAAATGGGGCTATTCGCTCATTGCTCTTGTTTCTCTGCACGACGACCGTTCCGTGCCTTGACAAAGACGCGTTTGTTTTGGGCGTTTGTCGGGGGGGGGGTTAGCGATGTCCTGTCCTCCATCGGCCGTTTTGCTTGTATGACGGAGAATAAGAAGGTGAAATTACTTGAAATTAGTATAGAAATAAAGTTTGTGTATCTAAATCGAAAATAAAACGGCCGATGGAGGACAGGCCTAGGTTAGCGGTGTCCTGCTGGGCAACTTTGCGCTATGTGGTGTTGTTGGTCTTCTGTGTTGGCACCTAACACAGGTACTCCGGCACAGCGGCCATCACGACTCTACCCCCTCTCGCTGTAGAAGGCACGCGTCCTATGCAGCGCCGCGCGTGTGGTTCTAACAATTTTTTGCTTTCAGACGCCGTGACATATATTGTGAAAGCGCTCGTCCATCGCTGCCGTTTTGCGACAGAGTGTTGGGCGGGGGACTGGGAAACCGGTTGGTGACTCGGCTCCAGCCGATGGCGATCTTCATGGGCAACAACAAGTTTGCCGGTGAGTGAGGGACGCGGCGCAATCGTCAACGGGGTGCTACAGGTTGAAGACGTATTTTCCGTAAGCGTTTTTTTCCAAGCACACGCTGGACATGTGTGCAGCCTGCGGGTTGTTCGTGGTATAATAGCTCCTGAAAAACTTGTTCAAGTACGCTTTCGACATGTCTGCAGCCGCATCTAACGGGCAGCGGAACCCGGGACGTAGAATGAAGGCCCTAGGTACTTAAAACGTTTGAGTCAGGCGCTCGCTCGTTGCATCTTCGGTACCACCCGTGCACGCCAATTATCTGTTGGCAATAGAATACCGCCCACCCAACATCAAGCTCACTGGTATTTCCTCCCGCCTTCGTGTGCCCCCCACGCCACCTCTCGAGCATGCGGTCTCGGTGTTTCGTCTAGACTATACTGTTCTGTACAACTGCTGTGCCGCATCAAACACCAAGGCCCTGCTTAGGGGATACTCTCATTACTCACGGAACAGGCCAAGAATATCCCCTATTCGCAACTTGTTGAACGCATGATGCTCAGCCGAACTTTTTTTTTTTTGAAAGTATACATAAATCTCACAGAGATACCACCCGTTCGAAATAGTGCCAAAGTTAATCCGTGTCCCCGCGTGTGGGTGGCCAAGCGTCGTCTCGTGATTGCTGTTTTTTTTTTTTTCCACACTAGTGCTTGTTTTATTTTGTACCATGTTTTGCCTATCCCGAGCAGGCACCGGGAGGCCCGAGGAACGCTTCTTGAAGCACGCCGGCGTAGACGAGGCGTTCGCTAGGCAGGCAAGTTACCTTCTTCTATGCATGTAGTGCGCGTTTCATCGGATTCCTCGCGGAACGCTCATTATAGCACCGCAAGTGCCTTGCATGCATAAGTACCATACGTTACTTGGGATGTATTTTCAATGGGTCCCTCGGAGGCGGGCTCATGGGAGCACGGCAGTGTCATCTGGGGGCAACACAAGATGAAAATTCAAGCGGGCAGCAGGACCAGCCCACAGCTGACAGCTGGCTGCCAGTTGTGACGTTTCCGAAGCTCGACAGTTCTCGCAGCTTTGCGTATTTTGAGTCGAAGAGCACAGCGAATCTCAACGAACCAAGGAGATGAAAATTATCCAATGTGCATACAACAGTCTACATGCGCGAGTCCTGTGCTTGTTTGTCAAACGTATGCGTGCGTCAGGAATGCAGTCTCGGTTGTACGTACCATTACTGTACGCATAGGTACGTTGTTGGATTTCTTTCGGCGCTCGTTGCAGTAGCAATGATGTGCTTCAAGGTTTTCTCGGTCCCCCCGCCCCCTTTTTTGTTTTTTGTGGTGGTTTTTTTGTGCCATGTGCTTGATTCACCCGCAGACTGCCGTGCGGTCTGTCTCTGGCGCATTGTTATTTCGTGTGATTATTTTGGACTCGTTTTGTTTTTGCGGAATCATTTTTTTTTTGAACGCCCCCCCCCCAGAGGTCGGTATGCAACGAGAACAAGGAGGAACCAGTAGAACATAGATGGAAGTGGGGGATCGAGGAGATTGCAGTAGTGACCAGTACACATACCTCGGAGTAGAGATCGCAAAAGACTGCTCGTGGAATGCACACATGTCCAAGGTAGCGGAAAAGGGCAAAGCACGAGCAGGGAAGCTGCACCCAATACTCGCAAACCGGCACCTCGATACACGCATCAAATTGACGGTTTTGAAGAGCGT